ATTTATCTACTCACATTTTTACATGCTTTTGATCTGCTATGTTGGCAGGAGCTGGGACAAGTAACGGGAGCTCACTCCGTCGCGTGGATTCGAACTGATCTTCTGACCTTACAGCCCCGAGGCTTGCGGTTTAACCTGCAGTGCCACCACATCCCCCTGAATCAACTGCTGAATAGTGAACCAATACTTTCATATGTATATCCAAGGGATTCAATGGACTGAATTAAACTGGGACCGGCAATGAAATTTATACCCACGTCTCTGTTGCTCCTCTAACCTGGAGGGTCTGCTTTTCTCTAATTTCATTTGGTTGCTAAAATGCACACTGATTCTTAAATAGGTTTTGGCTTTCTAAGCTTGCTGCATCACAAAGCTCCCCAGCTATCTGATAAATGTGAATTTCAGTTATGGCTAAGCATGGGACTTCCATATTTTTTTTTACTACAGTTCCCAGAATTCACCAGGAATTCCCTCAATCAGAATTTTGGTAGCTATAATCAAACAAAATAAAAACCCAAACAAACAAACAAACAAACAAACAAAAAACAGTCCTCAGGTTTTAGTACTCGAACCTATGCCTTCACAAATCTCCCTCTAGAATTATTACAGGTGTGGCCTTGGGTAAACTACACATTCCCAGGGCACCCCCAGAAGAAGGGAATGATAAGCCACTCCTGACTTTTCTACACAGAAAACCCTGGAAAGGGTCACCATATGTCAGAACTGACTCAATGGCACATTATGTCTATGAGCCTATGTTTGAGCTTATAGGTGAGTTCGAACATACGAGTAATCTGGTGAGGAAGACTAGATTACTCATAGAGGTGTCTGAATCTGCTTATGGGTTCAAATGCAGGTTGCAGAGAAAATGTGAAATGTCATAAAAATCCTCCCCCTAAGTATTATTACTCAGGGCACTAATAACTGTGGTCAGATCTGCTTCAGCTTTTGTTAAAACCAATAGTATCCATATGCATATCTGAGGAAAGATCCATGAATGTGCCCCTTTACTGCCCTACATTTAAATTAATACAAAAGGCCACTTACTTAGGAAGTCATGCGTGGCCAGTGGAATACCTAGGGAACTTGGAGCTGAATACAGTTTTGACAGTGTCCATGTCTGTACTAGTCATGTGAGGTGGGAATTTTTTCTTCTAGATTTTTCTTCCATGGAAAAATACCTCAGTCTGGAAAAGCACTGTTTCAGAAATCTCAGAAAGGTAATTTCAAATTTAAAAATTCCAGTTCAAGGCCCATTAATTCCAATTCATTTTAATACAAAGCACTGAAATAAAGCATGTTTTATTAAGTCCCCTCCCCCCCAAAAAACAAGAGAAATATTTCAAATAGTTGGGGTACAGGAACAATAAAGCATGTCTGAAATTTTTCCTAGGAGCGAAAGCCCAGAATGTTTTCCAGGCAATTTCTGATCCAGTATTTGCTGGAAAACACACACCAGCCTTTGAACCCATAAGGTGTTTTCAACTTAACCACTTGAGAAAGTGGGTTCCAAGATCAGGCTTCAGAAACAGAAACGTTTTCACTCTTTGCACACCAGAATCAGGAACCTCTGGTTTCACCAGATATTTTGAACAGTAAATCCCACGAGCCACTGCCATGATGGACAGGGCCGATGGAAGTTGGCAGCCAAAGCATCTAGCAGTGGTCCCCAACCTTTTCCCAACCGCGGACTGGTTGGGGGGGTGGGGTCTGTGTGCACGGGGGCGTGGCATGCTCATGCACAGCGCGGGCGCTTGTGTGCACGTCTGGGTGCTGAGGGGAGGTAGGAGATCTTTGTCTGCAACCCACTCCTGCCTAGGCCACGGACTGGTGCCGGGTTGCGGCCTGGGGGTTGGGGACCCCTGATCTAGAGGGTCATTTCTCTCAACCCTGTGTCACAAACAGCATACTTGAAACTCCTTTCCTGCCATTTGGCTTCCCTCAAGTCTCTCCCTCCTTAGCTAAGGTCTGTGGTTGGAAGTCTGTTCTGCTACAATAAACAAGGCTAGGCACTATTCTGCATCAGGCAAAATAGTTCCCCACATGTGCTCCGTTTTTGCCATCAAGTGCAGTCTCCCCAAAATTTTGATCCTAAGAGACAATTTCAAGGGTGCTCTGCTCAGAGCTTATATCTGCTGTGAAAAACTTGAGATGATTTTTGTTTAATGGGAAAAGTAGAAATAACACGCATCAAGTGCTGTAACATCCATAATAATAGTAACAATAAAAAGAATGTCCTCTGTCCTGAAAACACTGGCTCCAGATATTTTTACCACGCCAACATTGGGATTATCCCAAATTAATATGTAGCTCTTCCAGGATACTTTTCCCCCCTTTTGGGGTATATAATTTATTTATTTATTTATTGGACTTATATACCGCCCCATAGCGCTACAAGCACTCTCCGGGCGGTTTACAATTTTAATTATACAGGCTACACATTGCCCCCCCCAGCAAGCTGGGTACTCATTTTACCGACCTCGGAAGGATGGAAGGCTGAGTCAACCTTGAGCCGCTACCTGGGATTTGAACCCCAGGTCATGAGCACAGTTTTAGCTGCAGTACAGCGTTTTAACCACTGCGCCACGAGGCTCTTTTTATATAATGATCATAAAATGTAGCTCATTCAGGCTGCAACCCTAATTGTATCTTGTATTAAGAAGCAAGTTTTCCTCAGATTCCAGGGCCACATATCCTGCTTTTTTCTGTTTTCAGGTGAACTCAGATCCCTCCCCCCTGCCCGCCACATCCAGATAACTTGCTTTGCAATGACCTGCAGTGAGGTGTATCAGCATACCGATAAACACAGCAGCCTTCCTATCTCCCCTCCACTTTCAGTTTTGTTTTGTTTCTGTGATTTTTTTTTTGAAAAATGGCCTGTCACAGGAGGCTTGAAGAATTATCTCTGGCCTCTCAATGTGCCGTAATATTTCTGACCTGCCAATAAAATTGATACAGCAAGAAAAAGACTTTTCTGGTACCTTGTATGATTTGTGTGGCTCCTTCACACCCTATTCCTCTCCCTGTAAACCATGTACAGTGTGATGAAGTTTGAAAGAAAAACTGCTGTACCCCGGGGAGAAAAAGAATAATAAAAGCCTCACCAGGAAAAAAATTGAACCTGCTACTCACTAGAGATGTCAAACAGGAAATCTGACCCTCTGGATATTTGCAGCCTGTTCCAAACTTGGGACTCTGAATAGATCTGTACAACTGGGGTGAAGAATTAGCCACAGCCTGCCACCTTCCCATCCACTTCTTTAACAGACCAAAGTTGTATTGTCCTGCACAAATATTTCTGGGAGGATGCCCTCTTGAGCTAGGTAAGATTGACTTTCAAATAAACATGTACAAAAGTGAGTTACAAATCTGTTCACAGACACTGGCTAATAGTGCAGTGTATCAAAGAGCTCTCTGAATAAGACATGTGCAGAAACTCCAACATCTCTCCATAACAGCAGAGCATAGAGCAGGAGTAGGGAAGCCGTGGCCATTCAAATGCTGGGTTCTGGTTCCCATTATCCCCAATCAATCTGACCACAGGTTTGGAAACAGGTCCTCCCTTTACAGAGAGGGTTTCTTTTGGAGAGAAAGATGAGAGAGAAGTAAAGCAAATAAATCAATCAATTGTTGAAGGAATTATATATAGAGCAATCTCTTAAAACTACAGTATATGAATATGCACCCTTGCTATCAAAACTATTTTGCCCTTCTTTCAAAGTACATTTTACAGAAATCAATTGCACCAAAGATTTGGAAGGTGCAGCCAGTAACATGCTTGCATGACAGCAACAATTTCACACATTATATTTTTGTGTCAGTAGCAGTTTAAGTGGTGACACACACTTGTTCCTATTCATTATGACTATTTTAGAGTTTGGTTCTAGCTTATTCTCTGTTGGAATTTAATAACATCTGTAATGGTGTACAGCAGGTCACCACCCTTTTTTCTACAGCCTATAAAATTATACATCAGATGGTCAAGGGGACACTTTATTTGACCACCCTATTCAAATGTTATATAAAGTAAATAAGTAGACACATATTTACAGTTAAGTTTTTGCTTAATTATATGTTACATTGAAAGTTTCAAGTATTCTCCTTCTTTGCTTTGTATCTTGTTTCAAAGACCAACAAAAGTATCTTAAGAAATGAAACATAATTAAATGTTGTATAATAAATGAAGTGATGTCTAATTTGAACAGAACTGGGTATTTCTTTTACACTGTAGTCCTACACGTGGATTGCCAAGAAGGAAATCACACCCTATCCAGTGGCTCAGTGTAGGATCACAGCCTTCCTTGCAAAAATACATGGTGAAATTCTGTAGACCTGGTCTGTGCCTTAAAATATAGATATATGTTTGCTTCACAAGAGATGTGTGCAAAAGCTGTCAAACACCGCTTTTAGTTGATTAATCATATGCCTTTCAATTGATCAAAGATCAATAAACCTACAGTGTGGGTGCTATTTATAGACCTCAAAGGATGCTTGCAATAGCTTATAAGGAAGGTCTGTGACAAATTATTTGGACCAATTAATTTTCAGTTGGGACCAGATTTTAAAAAGCTCTGGAATACTTTTTGAATTCTTTAATTCCTGAATAGAACTGAAACAATTTTTATGATGAGTGCTGTCTTATCACACTGAACAAGCTGGTCGTTTCTTTAACTAAAAAGCTGTTGTGCTTCGTATCAATCAGGAGAGGAAAGGAGGAGAGTAGGCCCTGGAAGAGAGACCAAAAGTCAACGCTAAGTGAGGCTGCTGCTAGTGCAGTTCCCCCTCCTCTCTTGCATGACACTGTCACACAGAAGTGAAGAACTGGTTGAGAGTTGGTTGAGATTCTTCACTCTCATGCCTGATCCTCTGCTGGGGGAAAGGGGGGAGGCTACCACACTTTTTTGGCCACCAGGAGGGGTACGGTGTCCCTCCCACCTGCTGTAATGCACCAACCTCTACTGCAGAAAAGGGAAATGCGGTCCAGGTCATTTTGGCACTACCTGTTGTTGCAGATGAGCCTGCAGTTGCCGAGGAAGTAGACGGTGGAGGGCTGCCACTTTCCAACACAAGGCAGGTGCCGCTGGCATTGCTCTCTTTCTTCACATACATTTCTGGCAAGGGGATGGGGTGGCTGATGCCCAACTCTTCTTCTTGAGCTTGCTGCCTTCTCAGTGCAACCTGTGGATGGGGAAGTCAGACAATGTCTGCTCTCTTAGTCGGAAAAACAACATCAGCAGCAACTTAGCAGCAAAACTGGCAGAGAATTCAAGGTAGAACTAAAATGTCATTTTGTATTATCATTTGTTAAGCATTTAAAAATGGGGATGTGAAAGTGAAAAGTGGGCTATTTTAAGAAACTGTTCCTAATATATGAACATGTATTTAGAGAGCATGGCTGGCTAGATAGCTCAGTGGCTTAGGTATCTGGGTCCTTTATAAGCAGAAAGGTAGGACACAACCAAACAAACAAATCTGGCTGTGGAGCCAGAGTTTGGGGGTTCAATTTTCTGCTCTGCATCTCAGAAGAGTCAGCCTGTGCGGCTTTGGACAACCGGCACAGACCCAAGATGCCCCAAGAAGAAGGGAATGGTAAAGCACTTCTGAGCAGGGTAGATGGACATCAATGATTTTTTTAAAAAAATCAAATTGATTTAAATCATGATTTCAGTTTTTTTCATCAAATTCTTTAAAATTTAAATAATGATTTAAATCAAATCCACACTTCTGGTTGCTCTCTACCTGGAAAATGCTGGAAAAGGGGAGTCATAAATGAAAACTGACTTGAAGGCACACGGTTATGAGGATGAGAATGATTGGGAGTTTTAGAAGAGGTAGCCATGTAAGCCTGCGCTAGTGTATCAGGCAAAAAAGGATATATATTTTTTAAAAAGAGAAAGACAAAAGCATTGTGGCACCTTAAAGAAGACAGCTACATTTTAATGAGAACTTTTGCGGACAAATCCACTTCCTCAGAGGTTACCCCTGAGATTATTATTTAGAGGTTACCTACTCCCCCCCCCCAAAAAAAATATCATGAAAATTATCCAAGAAACACTTTCTGGTGCTTCAGTGATTCTTGGATAACACCTGACATGATGACAAATCAAAACTCTTAGAAAACAAAAGGAACAAACATGCAACAGAACATGTAATTACTACTACATCTAGAGCAGTGGTCAGGGAACAGGGGTAAATTACCCCAAACGGGGTAAAAATGAAAATTCTTTGGGTAATGAGGGCAGTCGCGGCAGGCATTTTACCCCCAGGCATTTTATTTCTAATGATTCTGTGTGTAGGCGGCCATTCCGTCGCAGGGAGAGCGAGCCCTGGTGAGGAACTGCACAGGGCACCCGCCTGCCCTCCTCGCCTCCAAAGTTGGGGGTGGTGTACCAGGCCAGCTGGACTCTTTGCCCGGCGGAGCCCTGGCCGGGGCTCTCCTTCCTACCTGTGCCCACCTGCCCGGTGCACTGGCGAGGAGGCCCCCTTCCCAGCCCACCTCACCTGAGCTCATGGCCAGTGGACTTGCCGGCCCTGTTGCGCCTGCCTCCCCTTGCCAGGGATGCACTTTCCCGGCAGGGTGGCAGCTCCAGATTGGCTGCCCGGACGGTGGCCACAGGTCCTAGGTGAGCGCAGGAGGGACGGGGGTCGGCCGCAGACGGCAAGAGCCAAGGGGGGGGTAATGTCAACGTAAATAAATTTTTTTTGGGGGGGTAAAAGGTAAAAAAATTCCCTGACCCCTGATCTAGAGATTTTAGAAACTGTGCATTTCTTTCAGCTGAATTTACTTCAGTGGTAGGGAAGAAATGAAACGATTGGTATATTCAGTAAATATGGCCTAAAACAGTGAGACTTCTTTTTTAGGGTTAAGAGTCCATGTGATCTACCATTATATTTGTAACCTGATAATTTTTCACATCTGAAATCTCAAACCATTTGAACTAGGAGAAGACTGGGAGCAGAGGGAACACTGTGGGTCACGCAGCCCTGCAACAGCAAGAGAACAAGCTCTGCTTAATTTGATACTTTTGCACGGAAGAGTCAAAGGTGATTCCCCCATTCCCACCCCCCGGGAACCACCATGTTCTGTAAAATCTTCCACATCAGAACTAGGATTGCACATCAGATTTATAACACTTGAACACAGAAATCCCACTGAAATCAATCCAAGGTGAACCCATTTGACAATGCAAGAGTGATCTTAACACAATCCATGTATTTTCTTCTGCCAGTCACTGTCACTGCATGGCAATTAGATGAGAAATCCTGTAGCAAGCCATGCATGCTAAACCACTAAACTAAACATAAGGAAAGCACAGTGATTTCCCCAATTCTGAAGTTGTGATCAGAAGATATGGAAGTTTGGAAAAGGGCTGGGGGAACAACTTCCAGAACCCCCTCAAACTGTGATATACTGGCTGAGGAATTCTGGGAGTTCTAATTTAAACAGATAACTCAAATTCTATTTTTTCCCTTTAACAACCACAGGAAGGGAACAAGAAAGCAAGTGCAGGGAATGGGTTCTGCTATAGTGAGAAAAAGCAACTACACTTAGTCATGAAAATGAACATAAAGAAATCTAGCAGATAACCAAGAAACATGTTTGAACATGTTTTCACAAATTTTAAATTTATGGATCAAATCCCACTACAAATTGCAACTAGAGCAGATCCACTAAATCAGTGGAGATTAGATAAACCGATACCCATGTAAATTCCATGGATGCAATAGGCCTACTCTAGCTGCAACTTACTATGGGATTTCAGCTATTGTGTACCACCTTGATGGCTTCTTAGCAAAAAGGAAGACATAGAAATAGCAATAATAAATAAACAATAACTGAGCTGCATGCCATGGCTAAAACAGCAAACATGAAATAAAAAGCAAGTTTCAAATGCAAATGAGCATTTTAGTACTGTACAGTGGTGCCTCGCTTGATGAGGATAATCCGTTCCAGTGAAATCACTGTAGAGAGAAATCCTCGTCAAGGAAAATAAAAAAGCCCATTGAAATGCATTGAAAACCGGTTCAACGCATTCCAATGGGCAAAATACCTCAGCGTCCAGCGAAGATCCTCCATAGGGCGTCTATTTTCCGATGCCTGTGCAGTGAAAAATCCATCCTGAACACAGCGGGGAGCCATTTTGAACAGCCGGCGGCCATTTTGAAAACCCAACAATCAGCTGTTTTGATCGTCATAATGCAAAGAATCAGTTCCTGAAGCAGGGAACCGATCATCATAAAGTGGATTTTGCCCATTAAAACATCGTTTTGCGATCGCAAAAACATCGCCGTGAAGCAGATTCATCATCAAGCGGGGTAATCGTTAAGCAGGGCACCACTGTATAGTGTGTGAGGGAAAATATGAACAGAGTCATCCCATATAAAGCCAAATAAACTTTTTTTCTGTCTGAAGCTCATTGTGGCTGCACATGTGAGAGACCATGATATAAAAGAGACTCATCACTGTGTACACCATGCATTCAAGTTAGGCACGTGCAAAGTGAAGCTAATGGGCCACATATTCCCCCAGGACATTTCTGCAACCACACCCCCGGGGTTTCCCAAGGTTGCCTCTGAGGAAAAATATATTTTACAAAGAAAAGTCAATTTTTGCCCCTGGAAGCCTCAAGGAACAATACTTTTCACATGAGGTGGAAAATGTATATAAAGCAAAATAAAACTGCATGTGCTCATCCAGCCACTTTGTTTACCTTTAAACACACACACACAAAGACTGAAAACATTGGGGGGGGGATGTCTAGAAGCACTTATTTGGCCCCCATGCAGCCTGCACTTTTCCTCCCTTGATTTCACCAATATAACTGAGCTCCTCGAAGCTACTGAACTGTAGGCAATGGAAGTGAATACTAAGAGCCACTTGTGCAAGGGAGGTGAATGTTAAGAGCTGCTCATGTTTTCATCTCACTGCCTCTAGCAAGCCTACCCACACAGAATGTTGGCAGGGGGACTGTGAGGGCTACAATCCACAAAAGCAACTTTCCCCTGCTCTGCAGTTCCTTGGTCATCCTTCCTCCCCTATCTCTGTCTTGTTCATCTATAGAAGTTTGTGAGACCTCTTTTAAGATGCCACATTCTGGACATGCCACATGACATATTGCATGGCGTTCGCAAGGTATGCATATAAAGTGGTAAAGCAAGGACTATAAACTGAGAGATTCAGAGACTCAGTGGGCAGCTGATACTTCAGAGCTGAAAATGTCCATAGACAGAGGGTACAGACAAGGAAACAGCTTGCACTCTGGACCGCTTGTGGCACATCCAGTACAGGTTGTGCTACATACAAGCAGTCCCATGATGCCTGGAAGACTGCAAACCAGCCTGACCCTAATCCCAGTCCAAGGTGGACCTTTCTGGCACTGCAGCAGAGCTATTTTTTATTGGGATCAGGCTGGACTGAGTCCTTCACAGACAGAAGGGCTGTTTTAAGGGATCACTCCCAGTGAGGCAATGCTGCCTGTTGTAGTCAGATGTGATCCTTTCTCATTGTTGTCTCACACTCTTACTTCTTAAGACTATACTGTGGTATAATTACATCCTTCCCCCAAGCTTACCTGGGAACAACTGCTATGAAACACAGCAATATTTATTTCTGAGTACTGTACATATATGGGCACAGAGATGAGCTTAGTTCATAGGTCCAGACTGCAAGCTACTGTTAGCCCTTACCTTGCACATACTTTACAGAAGCTACATTTTAAATAGACCTATGGTTCTTAATGTGATGATGTAAAATGCAAGTCAGTGAAACAAAACGCTGTATTGCAGCTAAAACTGTGCTCACGACCTGGGGTTCAAATCCCAGGTAGCCGGCTCAAGGTTGACTCAGCCTTCCATCCTTCCGAGGTCGGTAAAATGAGTACCCAGCTTGCTGGGGGGGCAATGTGTAGCCTGTGTAATTAAAAAATTGTAAACCGCCCGGAGAGTGCTTGTAGCGCTATGGGGCGGTATACTGTAAAATGCAAGTCAGTGAAACAAAACTACGAGACCAGATCTACACTAGGTTTTGAAGGGTTAATGCTATTTTAGAAGCATCTTCCCAAAATGCAGGTTTCAGTGGGACAAATTCTGAATCCAAGCACTCAATCTTGTAACTAAGGGATTAAATATAAGCACATGAAAGGGGATTGGCAAAAAAGAGGCTAAGGGCTCTACCTCTAGTCTGGGTGTCCAGTATGACAAATAGGCTGGCCTTAGAAAAGTTGCTTTCTTTGGACTATAACATGCAGCACCCTCCAGCCAGTACGGCTGGCTAAGGGATTCTGAGATCTAAAATCAAATTTTCAAAGCTCTGACTAACTTTATGTGGCTCATCCAGCACAAATACAGGTGAGGTGCAGGAAGACAGGCCAGAACGTCTTGTGCCTATTTTGTCCCTAATTTGGTTAGTTTTTTACATTATTCTAATATATGTTGTTTTCCTCATTTTACTCTTTAATCTACTAGCTAATACTATTTGTAAAACTCTGGGAATTTTAACTGAAGACTCTAAAATAAAATAAGCAAAAGAAAATTATTTATCAGAACTATTTATCAGCAAAAGTTTAAATAGATATATAGAGATTGCAATTTCTGAAGCTCTAGTTAATACAGTCATCAAGCATGTCAGCTAGAAGATTCTGGAATCTGTAATATATTACAAAATATAATTTTTTAAATTTAAGGATGTAAAATGTGGGGTAACTGTGATTTTTCTTCTTAGCAAGTGAGTAATGCAAAGAGAAAGAACAGTAATATAATTCCTATGTAGTGGTTGTGGCAAACAAGTAGAGATAAACAGTGCCATCATATACTGTCTACTCAGAAGGAAGTCCCCCTGGATTAAATTGGACTTTCTCTCAGAAGAACACACACAGCCATTGGAAAATGGTTGATAGTATATTAATATTGTTGAAAAAATAGCTACATCAGCCTTAGTATCTGTGTTAAAAATGTATGTACAGTTTAGATAAACTAAATAATGAGATTATGAAAGTTGCAGATTACAATTCCTAACTACAGAGTAGCCTTTTCAAAATCAAAGAGCAATCTAATAAATCAGATCAACTGTGACAACTACTTTTCGCAAAGTATTCAGATATGGCATACATGTATCCAGCAAAAAACTACTAAAATGCTAGTGTTAAAAATGTTTATAATTAGTCCTAGGACATGGGGAGGGAACCTATTAAAACACTAATAGGGAAAGGACATCAAATGGAATTAAAATATCACTCATTTACTTAAATGTAAATTGAGTCTCATAATCTATGGATTGATGATTAATACTCTTTAAATATCTAGTTCCTAGAATTAGGAGCTTCTCAAACTTTTGTAACAGATCATATCCAAAGTCTTGGGTATTTTTCATAATATTTGTTAATACTAAAAGTTAAGTGCAATTATTTTCATTTTTTTTCACTGACAACTTAATAAAATGTGTTAAAAACAGAAGATAGGGCCAAAAAAGGAAAAATATCTGCATGCATATTACAACTTGTTTGGTTATAAGAACCCCAAATCCTGATGTTTCTGCTATATAATCCTGACTAAAGATTGAATTTTTACTGTATTCTTATAACCAGTTATTTTCACTGTGGAAAATGGCATCCCCCTCCTAAGACATTAATATTATAGCACTCATACTATAAAAATCATTCTTGCATGTTTTAAATGCACTTTTTAGGCTAGCTATACATATTTCTAGAAGGCAAACAATAAATCTTGCCAAGGCCTAGTCTTAATACTACAATTTAGCCACATCCTTCAAAAGCATCCCACCTACTTTTAAATTTAAAGTATGTACCCTTGAACTCTAATAAGCAAAACCATTTTTCTTTTCTTTTTAGTACAAGTAATTATAGGAAAACAAGGAGGACCCATTAATAACAAGCAATTCCTCAAAATCTTTGAACAGAAAAACGTGCAAAATGCATCCAAAGTCAACAGAAATAAACTCAAAAAAATATCATTTTAATTGAAATAACAATCAAAGATTTTTAAAACCCTTGATGTTGCCGTTTTTTCTTGAGAAACTATTCTTTTCACTGGTTTAATGGATTTAGTTCTCCTCAGTCTTAACGCTTATCTGGCAACGAATTCATGTGTTTCAGCACCAACCTTTCTTTCTCAGAAGTAAGCCCTCCTGTGTTCACTAGTTTACTCAGAAACTAACCCCAGCTGTGTTCAATACGGATGATTTTTGAGGAATCAACCCCCAGTTGCAGCCTTGAGGGCCGCAATCCTGCCTATTTATAGCAATAAGACCTACAGTACGTACCAGGATCAGTTGGGCTTACATTTCTGACCACTCAAGCCCACATCTGGCTCTGCTGTCTATCAGTGAATCCTTAATTCTTCCAAGCCATCACATTCTTTAAGGAGGTACAGTAAGTAATGAATCTATAACCAATGTGCTCGAGTCTGAATAGCAGGCCTACACTTATTTCTTTGAGTTTCGACTTTGGAACCTCAGCCGGCGGCCGAGTTTCACATCACTTAGCGGGAATGTGAAGGTTCCCCAACCCTCGCTCCCCAAAGGGGCTGTTTTTCATCCGCTCCCCCCTACACACACACACACACACACACACACACACACACACACACACACACACACCGCTTGTTTCCACCCTTGTGGCTCACCTGGGCTGCCATCACCCGCTGCCTTTCCGCGATCAAGCTGCATTTTTTGCACTGGCAATCTCTCCACATGCAGAACCGCTTGTGCCCTTTCAGGGGTGACGAATAGCCATGATTCCTGCACCTCGCGCACTTCGGGAGCCTAGGAGACTTTTTCCCCGACGTGGCGGCGGGGGCGGCCCCAGCAGCCGCCGCAGCCGGGCTTTGGGCTAAGGCCCCACTGGCGTGGTTTCCCGCCCCTGCAGCTACCAGGCCAGCGGACTTTCCAAAAGGGCCCATCTTACCCCCTTGGCCGTTAGGCTCCGAGGGAGTCGACGCCTTGTTGAAAGAGGAGGACTCGTTGGGCATCGCGCCCTTGGAATCAGTTATCTGGACAAGGAAAGGAGGGGATCGGATTTGCAGAGGGGGGAAGGGCTGTATGTGTGAGAAGGGTGGGCAGGAGGGCGGGAAGGTCTATTCCTTTTTCGGACCTTAGAGATGGAGACGGGCTCTTAGGCAAAGTAATGGTCCCGTCGCCCTCGGCCTGCAAGCCGTGGCTAAGGCTCGCCGAAGCCGCCGGGACGGGGCAGGTTGCAGGAGACTCGGCCGCGGCTCCTTCGTGCCAGCGCCGTGTGCCGGAGGGAAAGTGCCCGGGGACGGGGCAGAAGGGGAGGCTGGACCATGCCCGGCTCCGCCTCCCGACTTGCTCCACGTGCAAAAAGCACGATGTGTCTATTTTATGTTTATATATTCCGTTTTTCTCTTAACAAGAGGAGGGGAGGGCAAAGCGACTGCCCCTGTGGTCTTGCTGCCTTCCAAGGGGGCTTACTCCCGAAGACGTGTGCATGCAGGATTGCGCGAGGCGTGCTTCGTTTGCAGCGGAGCAACAAAAGCAAACGGCTCCTCCGCAGCCGAAATGGGTGCAAAACCCGAGAGAAGCTGCAGGGAAGTCGCACCGGATCTCACGCATTTTCTGCAAACCATAACCGTCGGATCACTTACGCGTTTTTTTTTTTTAATTCTCTTGAGAGGATCCTTGTTTTATGTTATTTCACCGATCCGAATTTCACTTTGGAATTTCGACTAAATAAGTGAAGCATAGAATTGTAAAGTGAGTTTTGTTCGATTCAAGGCTCTCGCAATGCTTTAGCTTTGTGCTTTCTAGGACGACGGGCGGGCGGAGGGCAAGAATTGCAAGACACTGCATCTTCGAGCGAAAACGGAATTTAAAGTGGAGGCACACAGTCATATCCTTTTGGTCAAGTAGGTTTTCAAAAACCTGTAAAGTCTGTTTACCAGAAGGAAAAAAAGATGACTCCAACTCTCTGGAGACCCCTGACACCCACCCCTTCCTGCCTTCCTGCAGTTTATGAAGTCATTACAGTATCTCCCCTGCACAGGGAAATAATTAAGTGGAAACCAAGAATGTCTTTTAGCTTCTAACTTTTAAAAAAAGTAAACATCTTGTGAATATGGTTAATGTAGCATGGAACACAAGAAACAACCAGTTTTACTTTGAATAATAATTCTTCGATATGTGGCTATTTCATTCAAGCAATCAGAGGGATGCACACCTTCCTGTTCCAGTGAGGAGGCACAGTGATTAAAGATGCAGATTATTAATTGCTGATTACCATTTCTTGTTATAGAAGCCTCGTCCTTAAAGGAATGACCTCTCCTGCATTAGAAAGTGGTGAATATGGTAGAAGAAATTAAGAAAATGTCTATATTTCAACATGTATAATACAGTATGTGTCTTTATGACAGTGTTACACAGTCACAGGAAACACAAAAACGTCTATATCTGATGCTATTTAATGCTGTCCATATTGGTATTGGTGTTTCTCAATCTGCAGAATACATTCTTGTTGTGCTTACATATTATGGTTTTGAGTAATTCTTGGGCGTTCTGGAAGGATTTGATCTTCCTTGTTTCCCTGTTACCAGCCCCTTCATTTTAGAGAAGTTTCTGCTTCTGAAGTCAGATGTGACTGCAGTGGACTTTTCTTGGCAATGTTCTGCCTACATATACAGTACAGACAGGGCAATAACTAACGTGGAGCAACTGGGGTTTAACCCCCAAGTCACCAAATTTTAGAGGGCATTGAAATCTAGAAGTGGATCTGATAATGAACATTGCAGAAATAAACAACAATGCCTCTTGGCCCTGATCACATTCTTTCTCCCTCCTTTTAATGGAAGAGGGGACCTGGTGTTCATCCATCAGGGTAGAATGAGTGGCAGATGGCATTCTCTCTGCCCCAGGGACCAATAAGCCCTGCACTGTGATCACTATTCCCAGCTAGTTCAGGCACAGTCCCTTCTTGCACTGAGGACCCACCACTGCAGAATGCTTTTTATCTTCGGATCAGTTTAATGCTGAACTACTTCAGGGCACCAATATTTTGGACAAGGTTAAGTTAGTTTAAGCCAGCAACCTGTTTCAGTTTGCTGGCTTAAACACCAAGGAAAATGTATTGGAAATGTTTTAGATGTGGATGCAACCTAGGGAAAGTGGATGCCACAAAGTATGGTTCTTGCCAAATCTAGATATCATCCCAAAACCCAAAGAAAAAAAAGTTGTCAGTCAGAACTGTGACCTATGTTGTTGTTTAGTCGTTAAGTTGTGTCCGATTCTTCGTGACCCCATGGACCACAGCACACCAGGCCTTCCTGTCTTCCACTGCCTCCCGGAGTTGGGTCAAATTCATGTTGGTAGCTTCAATTACATTACACTGTCCATCCATCTCATCCTCTGTTATCCCCTTTTCCTCTTGCCTTCACACTTTCCCAACATCAGGGTCTTTTCCAGGGAGTTTCCTCTTCTCATGAGATGGCCAAAGTATTGGAGCCGCAGCTTCAGGATCTGTCCTTTCAGTGAGCACTCAGGGTTGATTTCCTTTAGAATGGATAGGTTTGTTCTCCTTGCAGTCCAGGGGACTCTCAAGAGTCTCCTCCAGCACCACCATTCAAAAGCATCAATTCTTCAGCGGTCTGCTTTCTTTATGGTCCAGCTCTCACTTCCATACATCACTACTGGAAAAACCATAGCTTTGACTACGC